ACCTGCGACCTCTCAACACATGCCGGCGTTCCAGCGAAGTCCTGCCAACAGCAGCCGACACCGACGAACCTTGGTGGGTCTGTCGTGCCATCCTCAGCGCTTAGTTAGCCGGCCGGGCAGAGACAGCCGCCGCCTGCAGCGTCAGCATGATGTGCACAGCCATGCAGCCGCCGCACCAACACAACAAATCATGTTTAATGCCATGAAACCACACACCTACAAAAAACCCCGCTGCCGACCGCGCCGGCTCTGTGCGCCGGGCCAATGTTCTCCCAACCCGCCGTGGTAACAATGCATTGTAGCTCTGCCGTCTGCTTCAAAATAAACGATAAGACGAACGATCTTTGGGAAAATGTGCACGACTCGTGCCGAGTCACATTAATGAAGTGGTAGAGCTTGGGCGCACGACCAGGTTCTCCTTTAGCGACAGTGGTCTGAACTTCGTAAAATAATATCTAAACACATTATTATTGCAAAAAGAACGGAAGCCGGTGCAGCTACAGCCAGCTGTAAAGCGGGAGGCACAGCTGTGGACACAATCAGACGGGCGATTCACAACATGGGCCGTTTTACCAAGCACACGCGGTGCGCTGTTTGTGTGGAAAAGTGCTTTCGTGCTAAGCTCTTGCACCTTTGACAGGTTTAGCTGTATGGAAGCGTAACCCGTCCGTCGGGCGGTGGAAGCCTGACAATGGTATTCGGGTAGTCTTCATGAGTTATAAGTCGAATGATATTCTGTACTCCGGGAAGAGTAGAGTAGATACATTGGAGATGCTGGAGTAGAAATATTGCCGAAACATCCCTTCCCTCTGCATTTTCAGACAGGTACCGTGCATACCATTACAACGTTGAAACAGAAAATCTTACAACCCGGCTCTGAAAGACGCATGATCTTATGTTCAGCTGATCACGCATCCAACGATTAACGGTATATTACGCCAAACAAACAGCTAGAGCCATCATTTTAAATCCAGTTTTAAAAAATGCGCGGCGACGTCGACGCCTAAAAGGTTTGCGCAATTTTTGGGCGATCAGCTTATATGAAAATCCTCTTTTCCGGCAATTTAAACTTGCCGTATTTGAAGCTTTACATTTGCAGCCAGTGGGCACATGCGCCAGTGAAGTGTGCCTCAAAATGTCATTGATAACAGGCCCGGGATGGACGAACGTAAAACTATCACGCTGAACCAGCTCAATGCCCGACGTGAACACCATCGTTTTCAATCACGACTCAAATCATGACCTGAACGTTCTCCGGCATCGATTCATCCGGCATCGTTACACAACCGGCCATCGGTTCATGGCAAGGCGTTTACCACCCGGCCATCGGTTCACTGCTACCGGTTCATCGGCCATTGGTTCACTAGCCATCGGCCATCGGTCACCAGCCATCGGCTCATCGGCCATCGGCTCACCGGCCTCGGTTCATCGGTCATTGGCGGCAGGGCTGTTGGTACCCGCCCGTCCCGTGCAGCGGCACCGGGATCGGGCCCCCTTCCCAGCCCAGCTGCGACTCGTGCACCATCGCGCCTGCAATTATGCACTGTCACCTGAGCAGTCCATCCGCAGCCGGCACACCCGCTCCTGATGACACCCCTCCCTTCACCTGACCCGACCTGCAAACACTCACTGCAAACCGTCTGACTACAAATACTCGGGCACAGGTCGCTGATCCGCGGACAATTCGCGAGGGACCATTCGCGGACCATACTATTAACGTGCGGACCTTTCGCGAGGGGATTATTTCGACTTGAGCGCTGAAATAATTGGCTCGCCGTTTCTCAAATCTTCCTGTCAAGTCTTCTCGACGTCCGCAGCATCTCCATCATCTTTACCCCTCTTCTCCAGTGCCCTCCACTACCATTTTGAAGTCAAAATATCAGTTAGTGTCCGAATTTAAACACCGGGCGTCTTCCCTGCCTTGGTCCTGCGAAAATACCTTTCCGTTCTCGTTCTTCTCTAAACACCTTCCAACCAGAGACACAACTGTCGCGAGCCGCTCGGTCCATTCTTTGTCGGAGACTCGTCCGTACACGTCTGCACCTGAACACGACGGCCAAAACAGCCACCACCAGCCAGCACACAAACGTCCACCACCAGTCCGCACACAGACACGTGCCCCACCAGTCCGCACACAGACACGTTTGCCCCACCAGTCCGCACACAGACACGTTGCCCCACCAGTCCGCACACAGACACGTTGCCCCACCAGTCCGCACACAGACACGTTGCCCCACCAGTCCGCACACAGACGTCATGAACCCATCCCGGAAAAAATCTCCTCTTGACAACATATCGCTACAGCTCGCGTGGAATCAAGCGTTCCACTTGACGAACTGCGAGTTTTGATAGGTCGCTCCGGACTAACGGAACGATAACTCCGTTCCAAGTGGCTTTATCGTGACAGTCTACACGTTCGGGTCTACCTTTTCCTGTTGAATGACGTTTCCGAAACACGGCTACGTTGTGCCGTTTATGTCCGCTTAGAAATTTTCTTCTAATCTTTTAAAATCAACACAAAACTATCACTTTGAGCCCCTTCAGGAGGTTTGAATACTATAATTATACGGTGCGCAGGCATTATGAACTGCTTGTTGCACAGTGCTCAGCGGGAGTGACCCCGCAGTTCGGTGCACTTCTCATTGGGATTTTCACGCCCTCTTCAGCAGATTCTCCCAGCCCAGACGCAACAGCCCAGCCCCGCGGTCCAGCCGCACCGTGCGCTCGTTGCACCAGCTGCCGCCACGGTCCTCACTGGCGGTCGGGTTGGCGTCCGAATCCACTGTCCAGTGACGGAGCTCTCCTCTCCAGCGTCGTGGCGCTGATGGCGGCCATCCTCTCGCCGCCACCACCGGCGGCTGTCGCTTCTTATGGATAGCAGCTCACCCTTGTGAGCGCAGCAGCCCAGGTCAGCAGCACCCCCGAAGCCAGCGCAGCCCCGGTCAGCAGCATCCGAAGCGAGCAGCAGCCCAGGTCAGCAGCACCCGAAGCGAGCGCAGCATAGGCCAGCAGCACCCGAAGCGAGCGGCAGCCCAGGTCAGCGGCACCCGAAGTCGCGCAACCAGGTCAGCGGCACCCGAAGTCAGCGACAGCCCAGGTCATCTAAAGCGTGAGGTGGCCATCTCGGCCCATACATCGAGGCCGCGTACCGCGCACCAGTACACGCATGAGGCGTGCACTCCAGCGGAGTACGGACGCATTGCATACCCCGAGAATCGCTCCTTGAACGAACTATGGTGTTGTACGCGGAGAACTCACAGAGCCATATTTGTAAGCTTTCATGCTGGGCCTACCGCATCACAACTGGGCAATTGCTTGAGTACATATTCTGCCCATGAGTCCCGAGGAGCATTGCATTCCTTCACCGGAATGTTTCACATTTGAAGATACTGAGGTAAGCATTAGATATGATGAAATAATAAACTCACTTATAACCGTTGGTACACTTGGTAAGTGGAAAGGAGTGCCCTTGACAACGAAAAACCATTTGGGCGTAAAATGACACGGTAGTGGTAGACGCGCAAACGCAGCAAACCAATCGGTCATGTCATGATGTTCGCTTGATAACGTTGTTTACTCACTTATTCCCGCAGTATATGGCGTCTCTTATTCTCAATGTAAGAGCTCATGACGCCGACCTGAACCCCGACCTGAATGCCTCTCTCTGCTGCCACCGTGTTCCAATCCGTCTCCCTCGGTGCGCGACAATCGCACGCAGTAGTGACGTCACATACAGCCGGGGCCGGTCGGCGGGGCACTGCCCTTCGCCGCGCGCCCCGTCTGACCCACGCACCGCCGCCGCCCGGCCGGCCTGGACACGATCAGCGGCACGTATCGCCAGACACCGTAGCCGTCCACGCGGACTCGTAGCAGCGGACCATGGACGCATGCATGCACAGACGGCGCCAGGGGTGGTAAGCATTACGGTCCATATCCAGGTTGGAGTCTGCGGCGAGGTGGACGGGCAAAACGCGAAGTCCTCATGAATTGTATTTGTATGCGTCGTCCCACGCAGCCTAAGAACTGACATGGCCCCGGCGAAAAGCTGTAAATCATGCAAAAACGAGGCCAAGATGCGATCTGTACACAAGCTCAAGGGAGCGCACGGGATCTCGAGATAGCAGAGCCACTTGACTCACCTCATATTTCGGCGGAGTTAGTTTGCGGTTATCCAGCGGCTGGCAAGCAGACCTACTCACGGTGTGCGAAGGCATTTTAGCGAGAGGCTTGGTGCGTGCGTCGACCACCACTGCCGCCCGTCAAAAGACTCCCGTTCGTACGGGAGTCCGGCGCCGGCAGGGGCAGATGCAGGCGGCTCTGGCGGCGGCCGAGCAGTGGCGGGGCGCGCGTGCTGAGCGGGGCGACCGGCCGCACCGACACACGCCAGCAAAAACCACTCCGCGACCCACTAACCGTGCCGACTTGCCGATACAACGCTACGCGAACGGCCAGCGCCAATCAGGGTCATCGACCCCAGAAGTGCACTACGCTCGCCGCGCCCTGCAACCGTCAGCCGTATGGCCCGGCACAGTGCCGTGGTAGGCGGAAGCTCCTCCGCGACCGAAGTCAGCCACGCCAAATCCGAACCGGACCTCGCCATACTCGCTGACGCCGATGGGGGCCGCGCCGCCGGGCGATAGGCGGCGGCGTCGCTCCTGGAGCCGCCCATGAACGGCCGGGCCCGCGGGCGGGCGCGATGTTTGTCTCCCTGCGTGGCGGCCGGCGGCCGGGCGGGCTGCGAGGACGGCGCCTGCCGCCGCCGCTGCCGCTCCGCTCCACCGCCGCCAGACGCGCCGCAGAGGGGGCCAGTCACGCCCCGCCCCGTCAGCGCGCTCGTCGGCCGGCCGACGACGGCGGCACAGGTGCGAGGGCGGAGGAACCGACCGCCAGTCACGGCGGCCCTGCGAGTCGTCCGCCCGCCGCCTCAGCGCATTCCCAGGTGCTCTTCGGAACGGTCTGACTGGACAATAGTTCGGCACGTTTCTTATTTAGGCCGACCGGTCGACTTGAAACGTTGCAACAATGCGAGAAGTCGCTGATATCCGTTTCACCAGCTCATACCGATTCTTAGAGGACGCAACGGCGAACCGTGAACGACACTACAGGCGTCCTATTCACCCATCCATTGCCCCGTAACTTCGAGGCGAACTCAGGGAGCCATTGAAGGCGGGTCACTGGTGCTTTCTTCTTCTCATCCTTCAAAAAATGGTGGGTGGACATCACGTGAGAAGCTACGATTAAAGCGAGCAAAGCCCAAACTTTACTGCTATGCCCGCATTAGCAGTGAACTAATTATCCATTGGACCCCTGACCCAGATGACCTATGTTCCACGTGTGTCATAATGTGGCCTTTTCCGAATGCGATCCTCGCATCCACACATGAGCAGCACAGGACCAGACGGGAGCTTCCTCTTAGGCGCCGTCTCTCATAAGCGGCATGAGACAAGACAGGAGTTTCCTGTTGGGCAGCACCACCCTGCCAATCCACTCCTCGCTACCCCCATTCCCTAGCCTGTGTGCCACTCCCGCGCTGCTGACGCAGGAAGTGCCCCACAGCTGGGTCTTAGCGAGGGCGGCGGCGCTCAAGAAGGCGGAGCTTTTCGACAGCGGGGCGTGCAGCCACAAATCACTGCTGGCTGCACCTGACAGGTGGTAAGTGTGACATTGTGCAGTGCAAGCTACAGTGACACAACACACCTTTGGCGATGTTATCTGTGCTGAATGATGGGACACAACAAATATTCTGCTTAATATGGTTGCCATGAGGATTTTCCCTCAGCATCAGGGCCAACCAGAGACTTTGCAAACCACAGCATAGACTTGGTGACATGAGTGGTCAGAACTAGCAAATAATTTTTCCTAAGCATGGCAACCCAAAAGTGAAGGATATTTGGGCCAGACCATGTGAGAGCATGAAGCAGCCACTCATGGCACACAGTGCCTCCTTGGAGGGTTAATGCACTGCCCTGGGAATCAAATGCACATTCAAATCTCTGCTACTGTACCACACTGCATGCTTCAAAACAAAACCAGTCACTTTTGAGTCAGCTTCTTACACAGATCTCTGGTATGGTCTGTAGACATACTCACAAACAAACATATCATATAACATATATGTTTGTCTGTGCATGTACAAACTGATAAACAGGTATATATTTGCATACATAGACAGGTATATATTAGTACATAGACATATATGTCTTTCTGCACCTGTGTGTGTATGTATGAGACATGATTGCAAATCTTGAAATTTCATGGACTTTCAGGCATAACCCAAAGGTCTTGATTACCAATAATGGACATTCTAAGACCTTAGGTATGTGCCTTCCAGAGAATGACAGTAAACAGAGCAAACCATTTACCTGGAATCAAAATAATTTAAAAGTAATATCAGAGGCAGATCCATTAAAAAATATATAGGAATAGGTCAGGAGCCAGAGTCTCAGCTAGATATTCTGCACAAACCTTTGTTTCACCATCAGATCCCATGTCTTCAGTAATAGTAGACCAGGTTGTTTCTTTGGC